CTATGCTTATTTATCTATGCTATCTATCTTATCTATCTGATTCTATCTATCTATACTATTCGTACATCTCTATCCAACTTTAAGAGTGTGATTAAGTGAGAGTTGAGTGTTCAAATTGTTTTTCGTGCTAATTAAAAAGCAGCCCTGAGAAAGTATTTAAAACATTCATAACCTTTATCTGTGCATTTGAGTAGGATGTATCTTTTACTTCATCTGTCATATTCGCTGATTTTACTTCTTGGTTGTGTTGGGTTTTCAACTAATCACAGCTTGTTGGTTAGTCTTGGTTTTAAGTTTTGTGTCGTGGTTTGCTGATATCTGTAAGTCGCAACCTTTTTCTAAGAGTATAGAGTAAGTTGTTTAGATAGAGGTATAAATTATTAGCGTGTACACTAAGCAGGACAGCTATTAGAAACATTTGACTAGGACAGTGGGAGGAAGATTAATGCAAGGAGTCACTGCCGCCTACAGGTTTGATAGACAGTTTTGTCAGGATGGTCAAGGCTCAACTGCAGAAGTGAAGTTCCTTGGAGCGGTAAAGGAATTCAGTTTTCTTGTAAAGGTGAAGATAGAGTCTTCATTTTTGATACCTTGTCTGTATTGACGACTTTCTTGCACAGTTCCTCTCTGTGTCATTTTAGAAGATCAGTATATAGATTAGAGTGTGGGAGTGTGCATGGATAAGGGCTCGTTCAATTGTGTAGGTGGTGGGTGGTAGTGGAGTGTGGGATTTTTATTTCAAGCTTGTCACAGAGTGCTGTACTTGGACTAACTATACATCTGCTCTTTTTTGCATGGCTGCTGTAAAAGCAGCAACAATACACCTTATTACACATGTAGAGAATACATTTGGATACATTCTTAGTGATTATTCAAGGGCTATAACTCTGATGGAGGTGCAAAATCGTAATAACTATGGGTACTGCAATTCAAGTTTTATAACGTTGCATATGCAAAGCTTTTATTAGTGGTCATTGGCCAATCCATGTGTTACCCCGGCGGTAGTGACTTAAAACGAATGGGTAAATCTTCAGAGATTAAGTTTTATCTTCCTTTGTTTGTTTTCCGTGTGTTGTTATGTTTATTTATTTGTTGTTTGGAAAGCACTTTGGATCTCTGTGTCAAAAAGGTGCTATATAAATAAAGTTTTACTTACTTACTTACTTACTTACTTACTTACCACAAGAGAGGGGCGTTCATATGGACTTCTCGTGCCCTCTGTAACCCATTTTGAAGGCAGCATAACACGCACTCGACATCGAAGACGGTCCACATAAATCCCTCATGCTACTGTTTACTAAAAATACATTTTAGATTTCTATGTAGTAATCCCATTACTGTAACATGAGAAGTAAAATGCTGTGTATAAGTTAAAAGGTGCAACAAAACTACCAGAAGAGTTAGGGCACAATCTGTATACATACACAGTCCTCAAAAGAGGCCTAATCATCTCAACTAAGTGAAAACACCTGAATCTCTGCAGGTTCAGGCTGCAGCAGAGCTTATAGTAAAACATTTGTGATGTTATTTCACCTTGTTAGTAGTCAGCTGACATGAACGTGTAATATACAGTACGTAGCCTGTATTACTGACTCAAGTAATGAGGTTGGGCATTGGGACTTTGAACATTAACACTGAAAACTGTAGAAGTATATGATGGTTTTTGGTGGAGGTATATATATTCAGTGGTGGCTCCGTAGACGTAGCCGACAGGTGTCATATAATTCATGTTACCAGTTATCTTTGTGACAGCACAGCATCTTTCTTTACCATTTTGATTCATCGATTAGTTGTTTGACAGAAAAATAAGATTTTCATAATCAATTAATAACAGATAATTAATCAAGCGAAAATGCTAAATCAGCTGGCTCAAATCTTTTATATCAAACTGAATATCTTTTGGGTTTGGATTGTTGGTCTGATAAAACAAGATGCTGCTTTGGGTTCTGAGAACATGTGATAGCCATATTTGTCAATGTATAATCAAATAACCTGTAAAAAGTCGCAGCCGTAACTCTTTTTAAATGATTTTAGGAGCATCTTTTTTTAAACACTAAAATAACTTATGTGTGTTTAGTTATCCTAATAATTTTTACAGATGTTTTTCTTGTAATATTTGTGTTTGGCGAGAGTCTCTGCGTGTGTCATCCCTCCTCCTGGATAAGAGCCCATAATCCCTTTGCTACGCCCCTGCTCATCCCCAACATCCCTTGTTTGTAGCAGTAAAACTTGGCCAGTAACTCAACTGAAGCTTTCCCTGCGTGTCCAAGTTTAGAGGCAAGAATGTGGGATGACTCCTCTTCATTTCTGCATGACCGTGCAGACGGCCTGATGATGATGATGATGATTATGGGAGGAGTGGCGGACTAAAAAACTTCCCCGAGTGACGCGACCCGGCCACGGCTCCTCCCCCCTTAACAGGAAAAAGTCCCCCCCCCCTCCTCAACCCGACTTTTAATTCTCCTGATGTAGCGATAGTTTGTCAAAGCGCGTTAGGAGGGAGAAAAGAAAGTCAAGGGTTGTTTGTTTTTTTGTCTTTTTCAAGAAATAAGTTTGGACATGAAAGCACTCAAGTGGTAGAAAAGTCATCTGAATCTTTTCTTCCCCCCCGAGTGTGCGGCATCATGAAGCCACTGCTGCGCTCCGGCGTCTCTGTGTGGACTCTGCTGGTCTTCAGCGCTCTGCTCAAGGTAAAAAGGCTTTCATTGCGTTCAACATCTTGGCAAGAGTTGTTTTGGTTCATGAGGAAAAAACAGCAAATGTTTGGATGATGATCCGTTTGTGTATCACACGGCTGGGACTGCACCTGTTGCGCAGGTATAGCCGCTGTGCTGGGACGGTCCGTCCCTCTCTTCTCTGCAGCTGCAGCAGAGTTAGGAGAAAAGTTTACGAGTAATCAGGAATCTATTACATTCTGGTGTCAGGCAAAAGAAGTTTTTTGGTGGCAGAGAAGAAAAGATGAGTCATTTGAGAGTTTTAATTCAAATTTATGTCAGCCGACCTTCAGCTGGAAAAGTTTAACAATGGTGGGCTGTTTATTGGAAGATGTGGAGAGAATATATTAAATCTAACGATGTGAGGCATATTTGTGCTTTTTCCCCCTAATTCTTATGTAATAATTAAAGCAGGCAATGTATTTAACCAGGTAAAAAAAAAAAAAAAAAACAGTGGTGTAATCTCAGTGGTGACCTGGTCAAACAAAGTTTCATGTCGCCAGTTACATAATCCAAAATATTACAAAAGAATACATCACAAATTATAAAGGATGAGAGCTCATTTCAAAAACAGGGCTTACATGAACACATAAGTTAACTGACAACATTAATTATGCATTATAGCATGAGCATTTTGTAATAAAAACTTTTCAAACTTTAATTCTGGTTAGAGAGATGAGGGAGCGAAGACTGAGTCTGCAGGTTATTACTTAGTTAAAACACTCTGAGATGAGATACTTCATATTTGGAGTCAGTCCATCCAGTGACCCTACATGTACAAAACTTGCATAGCAGAACATCCAGCAGCGGCAGACCCACCTGTCCTGTCCCACTGGTCTTTCTGGAGAGAGAAAGGATGAGAGAGGTTGAGAATGGCATGTGAGGATGTGTGTGGCTGATACACAGGGGTCAGGAATGGAATGAGGTGCAGCTCAGTGTCCCTGTCACTCCAGCAGCCACAACTCTGAACTATCTTACCAGTTTTATTAACTACAGTCTGATGGAGCAATCCAATACAGCAGACAGAGAGCGGTGTGTGTCCTGAACATCTGATGATTTTGAATTAGTGGAATTGTATTTGATTGTATTGATTATTGCAATGAAAAGTTATAATAAAAGTTTCTAAAGTTCAAAAAGTTCTCTCTGATAATCAGAGGTGTTCTTTATGAGGCCTGGTGCTGCCAAATGGTTGATCCCGGGCATTCACATTACAGCTGATAAAAAACTTTTTTTACTGCCAAGAAGCTTTCTCTCCCATTACCTGTGATTGCTTTTCTTTAAACCCTGTTCACCTGATTGGGTGGATAGTCTAACTGTTTTAAATGGGTCACATTAAGGTCAGTATTGGTGCCGGATCCATGCAAGTTGTTTTATCAGTAGTGGAGCCCGACCAATATGGGTTTTAGGTACTGATGTGATACTGATTTTAGAGGGAAAATTCACAGATTACCGATATGGTGATTGATATTAAATAAAATAGACTTACATTTTGAACCGATATGACTCTGCAAAGTTAAAGCTGCTTTCTTAAACAAATAACCTTATAAAATAATATTCAAGAAGTCAAATCTCTAGTAAATAGTCTAGATGGATTTTCTGATGACATTAATAAAAATTGTGGAGACCCTCCCCACACTACAAATAAAGAAGACCACAATACTTTCATTTCAACAAGCGGCTTCTTGCGGTTCTAAAATAAAAATAAGAAGTGGAAGAAATGGTGTAAGCCTTTTT